AAAAAAAAAAAAATCTACAGAGATCAGTAAATCACAGACGTAAATGATCAGACAGAGATCACATTGAGAGCAGTTGATGAAAGTTTACAAAAAACTGTAGTTGTTCACAGTTTTGACTGTAAAAATCAAACTTTTGTCTCAATTTTTTCAACGTCTCAAAAATAGTAAAAATAAAGCAAAAGCAATTATTGTTTTATTGCTCTTTTTTTAGTCAAATTTTTCAACTGAAGTATTCTGTTTCTTCATTTTTTTTTGTAACTATTCGTTGTACAACATAAATCGCTGTTATATATAGTATTTTCTTCCAGTATACTTAGACAATTCAAATTAGGAAATGTGTTTATTGTTTTTTTCAATTTTCAGAACAATAAACCTCTAAAATAGCTTAAATAATTAAGTAAAAATAAAAAATCAAAAATTTGATTGCAAAAAAGGTCAAATTTTTGAACTTTCAATTAATGCCATAAATATTTCTTTGCTAAATTTCTGTATTTTCATTTGAAGACTTTTGTTCAACTTAGCAAAAATAATTCATTATTATTTTTTTTGTAAACAGTTAAATTGTTTACTGTGTTCTGTGCTGCAGATTGAATTTTACATCAATTTAAAAACAAAAAAAAAACTAAAAAACAACAGCAAAACTAAAATTTTGTTATTATTTTTAGTAAACCGAATATGAATTATGATAAACTGAGTCGAGCTTTACGTTATTACTATGACAAAAATATTATGTCTAAGGTAGGCCTTAAAATATATATTTTTTTCTTTTTCTGTATAATTGATGAAAAAGTTTGAGTAATGTTCTGCTTTGTTGCAAAAATACTTTGTTTATTCATATACAGTATTTTTTGCAAATATGAAAAACTTTTTCCACGGATTTTTAAAAGAATTTATTTATACCTATAAAGCAAACTGTCGTAAATCAGGCGTTTTAGGTGCATGGAAAACGATATGCTTACAAGTTTGATTTTTATGGCTTAGCTCAAGCTTGTCAAAGTTGTTCAGGTTGTTCTACATCTGAATTACCTGTTCCTGCACCGGTTTCAACAACTACTGCAGTTCCAGCTTATCCAGCAGGTAAATTATTTTCTCGAAAAAAAAAAAAAAAACATCATAATTGTTGCAGTCATATTTTTGGTTTACCAAATTAACATTCGTATATCGGTCAGTATAAAAAAGATTTATAAAATTTACCAGTGTCTTAAAAAAAATAATTTTTTTTTTGTGCAATTTAGTCGGCTTTGATAACAGATTAAACAATAAAAGTTGACAATTCAAATCACTGCTTTAAAACGGTCAATTGAAAACGATCTTATCGTGCGGCAAATTTAAGTTAATGTTTCAAGACAACAAAGTTTATTCAAACTGATTTTTCAATTCTGTAAACAACAAAAAACAAAAAACGATTTTACTTGTTAATTTGAAGTGTAAAATAAACAATGAAAAAAAAAAGCTTTTTTCTTGATGGAAAAATTCTGACAATAAGTGAAGAACCCTCAAAAATGACTAACAAAAAAGAAATTAAAAAGAATGTTTGAAAGTTGAACATTTGTTTGCCGTTTTTTTAGGTTATCATACGTCTGATATATTATTTCCTCATTATCAACAGTCATTACCAAAACTTGAACCAGAAATGGAATCTCGTTATGCATTTATAACACCAGATTCTTCTGAAACTTTGTCGTCACCGTTTATGCCAGCTTATTGGGCACATCCAATTTCAAATCCTCCATGTTTATATCCATCAGCAACATATTATTCGCCGACAAAAAGTGTTCATCCAAATGTCACCTAATATAACACACACATTTTTCAATTTGTATTTATTAATAATAAAAAAAAATAATTGCAAATGATAAAAATTAAATTAATAATATTTATAAATAATAATATCAGTGACAAAAAAATTTATCTCTGTATAACAGCAATAACTTTCTTTTATTATCTAAATTTTCTGTTTCTTTTGTACTGATAAAGTATTGGCTGATTTATGTAGATAAATTTGCTGAAGTTATGAATTGAAAAGTTGACAGATGCAGCAGCAGCAGCAGCAGCAGCAACTTTAACAACGATAATCATATGTTTTGTACTTGAAGTCTGTGTTAATGTCACAGAATTAAAAATATCATGCAATTTAGTGTTAACAAATATGCACATTCAATTAGCCATAGTTATCAACAACAGTTAGTAAGTAACCAGGGCCCTTCTACTAAAAAAAAAATTGATAAAATTTCTCAGAGTCTACTAATTTTTTTTGATCAAAAATTTTCTTTTACAATCTTTGAACTCAAATTTTTGTTTTTTTTTCTGCATCTGAAATAATTTAAGCTTTTTCCCTCGTGGTTCGCAAAGGTTAAAAGTTAAGCGTATTTTTGCTGATACGATCGTCAGCAGAGTGTATTTTGAAATGCGATAAAATTTTTATGCAAAAATTACAGATATAAAGCGACAAAAAAAGAAAATAAAGCACAGTATTTTATTTTTAGAAAAAAAACACCAATAAAGTTTATTGCTGATTAAATCAAAAAAAAAAAAAAAAAACAAATCAACATTGTTGTTTTGAAGTTTTATTTTTGAAATTGTTAATCAAAAAAAAAAAACTAAAAGCAATTAAGCAGCTTTTGGCAAATTAAAGTTGTTTAATACAGTGAACAGTGTTTAATACAGTGAACTGCTTATTCAGTACACTAAATTTTCCTTTTTTTTGTCAGTAATACTGATAAATTTTGTTTTAAAAAGTAAAAGAAAAAAAAAATGAAGACAAAAGCGTACTGATGTAAAAAAAAAAATTAGTTTATTATAGACTGTATTTTTCAATTTTTTTTAGCTTTTTTAGCCTTTGTTTTCAAAATTTGATTACATAATTGTTTGCTGATTATATTTGCTTTATGAGAAGGAATAATTGCAATCACTGATATTACTGCCACAGTGATAGGGAACAGAATCCGATAGACGTATACGGTACAGAAATATTAACTTCAGTATTACTAACAGTTTTTTGACTATATCAGCTGATAAACTATGCGTTAAAAAAGCTTCTACACTTAACAGTTTTTAGTTATTACAATGTTAGCTGCTTAGTAGCATTAGTTTTTAGCTTGGTTTACCAAAGGAAAAAAAAAATCGACTATTAAGTGTCGTCTGTTAAAGTCGAAAGACAATATGGCTGCTAATTTAGTGTCAATTCGACATTTGATAAAACATCTGACAGTGGTATATCTTTACTGTTGTTTATTTAGAAAAATTCAAAAATATTTGAACTTTTTTTTTTTGCTGGATGTACAGTATTACTGAAAAATATTTGTACAGTGGGTTTTTGAAGAATAAATTTTTGTCAAAAGGGTATTGAAATAACTGTTGTCATTGGCAAACCACAATGTTTTTTTTTTTTTTTTGGACATTTTCAAACTACAGTTCTAATACACTCAACAATAAAAATATCATCAGCCAAACTGAGTACATTATTTGGCACAGCACTGGTGAACTTTGATGTATCTAAAATTAATATTGGTAGTAGCAGGGTATTTGCAATGAATAAAAGAAGTTGTAAATTTCCGGCTTTTAATGAAAATTTTTTCTTTTTTTTTTTTTTT